GGAAGTATAATTGTCTTTAGATAACTTGTTTTTTAAAGACGTTGCTCTTCGAGTTGAGGAGATTTGCTCACAGATAACTTGGTGTTAGACCTGGTGATGACATTGCTCTTTCGTGGTAGGGAGATCTAGTCAAAATTGACTATGATTGATTCGCTACATTTGGGAATGAGATAGATCTTCAAAGATCTGTCCAAAACGATCAAACGCCATGATTTTATGTGTGTCATATGCATTATGTCCTAAAGATGACTAATGTGGCTTTGATGTGATGTATGAAAGTTTTGGAAAATGAGATTGTATTGACTTCTGGTGGATCATCGTCGATCAAGACAAGCGAGACTTCTTCTTTGTCCTCATCTGGGCTTCAACCTCTCTTGAAATAAATTGTCTAAATAAGATCGTATCTGGTGCGACCCCTGATCAGGATTTCTTTTGAGATCGCTTCCTTTTAACTTATTTCTTTTATTTAGGTAAGCTCCTTACTTCTAGCGCTTTGATTGATTATGTTGAATTAGATATGTTTCATTTACATATGCTTCCTGGTGAACACCTGTTTTAAAGTTCCTATACTCTCAAACTTTTTCTCAGAGTAAGGTATAATAATCCTTTTGTATATGAAACAATTATTAATCAGAATTTTATATGTATGATGCTTACGTAAAGAGGGTAACAAAATGCACTCATTGATTTCATTAATGAGCGGTGAAAATGTACAATCTTTGGAACAAGTATTTCTTTTTAATGAAAAGGCAAACATTTTAAAGAGAATAAAGACTGAGTACCCTTTGATATCAAGTGCAATAATCATTTTATCTCTTTATCGGTTGTCTCTTCTGAAAGTCAATATGTGTCTAGAGGATTCAGATCGTATTAAAGATGTATGAGTATGATAACATTTCCCTTAATTATCAGGCTTTCGAGGAGATCCACTTTTCATTAGCCTAATCCTGAATACTCGAGCCGTCCTTTGCGGATTTTCAACTCAAATCCTCCTTTGGCTCTAAGATGCCCATTTTGGGTTTTCATTTTGAGCCCCATTTTTCTTCTTCATTTTTTTCATTTATTTTTATTTTCTTCTCTCTTTTTCTTTTTCTTCAGGTGTAATACCGCTTGATTCAATCAAATTCACAGGGTTAGGCAACTCATCTCCATTTATTTCAGTCAAAATCAAGGATCCTCCAAAAAAATCCCTTTTTACAACATATGGGTCTTCCCAATTTGGCATCCACTTCCCTCAAAAGTCTTTTGCATGGATAAGATCTTTTTCAGCACATATCTCCCTTGTGAAATTCTCGAGGCCTATCATTCTTTTCGTGAACTCGTATTATCCTTTTTATATATACCTATCTGTGATAGATAGCTATTAATTTTTTTCCTCAATTAAATTCAACTGATCGAATCTGTTCTGAACCCAGTCAACCTCTTCTAGCTTTAGCTCCATCATTGCTCTCAAAGAAGGGATTTCCAACTTAACTGATAAAGTTACCTCTATCCCGTAGATAAGTAAAAACAATGTTGCCCCAGTCGATGTACGAAAGATGTGCGATAAGAAAGTAGAGCAAAATGTAGTTTGTCATGCCAGTCCCTATATGTTTCAGTCGTTTTGGTGACGATCTTTTTGATGTTTTTATTTTGTTGTTTCTACTGACTCATTCATATTTGGGCGATAAGGAGTTGAATCATGATTTTTATCTTGAATTTCGTGTAGACTTCCTTTATCAAGTCGTTGTCAAGTTCAAGGCATTATCTGTGATAATTCTCTTCGGTGTTTCACATTTACATATAATTTCATTCTTTAGGAATCGACAGAAAAACCCCTTTTGTGATATTGGCATATGAGGCACTACGACCCACTTGGTGAAATAATCAATAGCTACCAAAGATAAAACGATGTCCATTTGAAGCCTTTGGTGAGATTATCCCAATGACGACAATACCCCACATTGAAAATTACCAAGGTGTGGTCCTTACATGGAGTGGTGATGGAGGAACATGTATTTTATCACCATGGATCTGACATTTATGGTATTTGTGTGCAAAGCTGATGTAATCCCCTTCCTTTGTTGATCAGTAATAGACAAACCTCATGATTTATTCTGCCATTAGAAACCATTTGCATGTGCTCCACAAATTCCTTCATGAACCTCATCGAGTATTTTCTTTGCCTCGATTTTATCCACACATCTTACTAGTTTTGATCTATTCTTTTTTTGTACAAGATATCCCCATTGAGAACATACCCATAGCTAATATTCTCAGAGTTTGTTTTTCATTTTCAGTAGCTTCAGCAGAGTAAGTTTCGATATCTTACGTATTGGAGAATATCATAATACCATGGGAAACCATCATCATTTTCTTCCTCAATGTTACAACAGTGAGCAGTACTTCTCTTATACTCATCGGATGGGCATAATTTGGACTTGGTATTGACTTTGAACAGTTGAAACCAATGTAGCTAAAGCGTATGCCATTTGATTTTCTTCTCGTGGAGATAGGTAAAATTAATTTCCTCAAACTCCTTTATCAGATCCATGACCAGATTATTGTATTCTATTAACTTGGAATCTTTGGCCATCCATTCCCCGAAGTCGGTAGATAACTAAGACAGAACCCCCAAATACTTCTAGGATTTTAACCTTGCTCTCAATTGCAGCTCGAATTCTCATGACACAAGCTTCATATTCAGCCATGTTGTTTGTTCATTCAAAAACGAGTCAACTGGTGAAAGGATATAATCTCCTTCAGATGAAACAAGCATTGCTCCAACTTTATGTCCTACATTTGAAGCTCCATCAAAATTCATCTTCCATACCTCTTCTTTCGAGGCTTCTTCTTCTACTACTTTATATATGGCCATTAACAATCATTGGTTCATACTTCGCTTGCAATCTACAATGGCAATACCCTTGACTGCTTTTCGGCTCACATATACCATACCAAATTGTGATAGCAACATTTTTCATCTTGCCATTCTTCAATCACAATTGATGGCTCCATCATGGATTTCAAGGGATCCAACTTCGATATTAACCATGTAGTGTGATATAACAAATATTGCATCAACCGTTTTGTAGTCCAAACTAAAGCACAACACAATTTTTCAATATGAGAGTATCGAGTCTCGTAGTTAGTAAATTTTTACTCAAGTAATAATGGCATCTTGCCATTCTTTCAATCACAGTTGATGGCTCCATCATGTTTTTCAAGGGATCCAACTTTGATATTAACCATGTGGTATGATATAACAAATATTGCATCAGCCGTTTTGTAGTCCAAACTAAAGCACAACACAATTTTTCAATATGAGAGTATCGAGTCTCGTAGTTAGTAAATTTTTTACTCAAGTAATAAATGGCTCGTTCTTTTCTTCCATTTTTATCATGTTGTACTAAGAGCATCCTATTGAATTTTCAAAAACTGTCTGGTACATAATCAATGGTTTGTCTGGAATTGATGGTACTAGAACTGGAGCATTTGACAAGTAGTGTTTGACCTTATCGAAACCTTCTTGGCAACTATCATCCCGTGTTTCTGGATTTTGCTTAACAAGCGGAAGATTGGATCACATTTCTCGGTTAATTGAGAAATGAACCTAGCAATGTATTTTAACCTTCCCAAAAATCATCGTACCTCTTTTTGTGTTTTAAGGGTGGTAATTCCAAGATGGCTTTGACTTTATCGAGATATATTTCTATCTCATTCTCGCTAACTACGAACCCAAGTAACTTCCTTGAGGTGCTCCAAAAGTGCACTTAACTGGATTAATTTTAGCTGGTACTTCCTCAATCTCAAGAACAACTTCTTTATGACTTCAACATGTTCTTTTTCAGTTATAATTAATAATACACATAATGTAAAAAGAAAATTAAATGGGTTCCAGACGAAATTAGGTTTCTACAACGTTTGTTTAGTATATAATAATTATCAGTTTTTACTGCTTATTTTGTATTTCTTCCTTATAGAACTTTATAAATACTATTGATGTATATTAGATCATGGTATTGTCTTATCATGTCTAAGAGACGCAACTGTTGAAAAACACCCAAAAACATATTATTCAAAGGTAAAAAAATTGTAAATTCATCATATGCCTGGTCAAACAAGTCGCTGTTCGTATAGAAAATTATATAGTTATTGAAAACAAAATTGATTTGTCACTTAAATGATTTCACATGACACTCTAAATTAATCTAATTAATTGAACTTTAACTGAATTGATCTTGAATAATTCACGATATATTTTATATTTAATGTCATAAAATATTTATAAAATTAATAATAACCTGTTATCAACCAAATCAAATATTCTTAGAATATATTTTAGTATAAGCATTTGATCAAATCAAATAAAAATTATAATATTCTTTGATTCTTATCAAATTACACAATTTGATTTAAAACAAAATATATTCTTATCATTATTATATGGAAAATTAATCAACTATCTTAATAGTTATTTAGTCAACAAAATATCAATAATCTTGTTAACATTATAAAATATATATATAAGAAAATAATAATTTATTATCAATCAAATCAAATACTCTTAAAATATATTAAAGTGTTAGACTTTGATTCTTATCAAATTACATATTTGATTTAAAATATAATATTGAAATTTTATATATTTAACATATGGATGATAAGTTTACACTAAATGAATACTAATCCTATATATAATGCAATCTTTGTTTCCAGGTTGTGCCTCCGCTGATGGTGCCCTTGAGTTAGGAAAATAGTTGTTTTCTCCTTCAAATAGTGAGTCATTTCAAGAATTAGATTAGTCTTTGAATTAAAATAGCTTGGCTCCATGAACCAACTACTGCATTGGGATGCATCAGATGTGAGTAATTGTGTCATGAACAACACCCGATTCACTAAGAATCAAATTCATACTGGTGTTGCTTTTGTTCTACATTTTTAGTTTGGTGCATTGCTTCTTCTTTGAATGGCTGTAAATATGAAGAAATGGTGGAATGATTGCTGTATGGGAATGTTCATTTCAAACATAGATTTTATAACAAAAGCCAACAATTCATTTCTACGATGGCCAAATCGGGATCCAGAAGATCCGTATTGAAATACAAATCAAGTATCCAAATAGATATGCAGAAAATTTAACAGAAAAAACCACAAAACCTACTTTAAAAATATCATAACCTAACCCCAACTATAGAACAACTATAATCCCCTTTTCAAGATGAAGTAAACTTGGTCACTGCCTTGGTACCTTCAGAAACTGCGTGCTTGGCAAGCTCACCCGGAAGTACAAGCCGAACAGCGGTCTGGATTTCCCTGGAAGTGATGGTGGGCTTCTTGTTGTACCTCGCCAGTCTAGAAGACTCTTGAGCAAGCTTCTCGAAGATATCGTTGATGAAACTGTTCATGATTCCCATAGCTTTGCTTGAGATCCCGATATCCGGGTGGACTTGCTTTAGGACCTTGAAGATGTAGATCTTGTAGGTCTCTACGCTCTTCTTAACCCTCTTCTTCTTCTTGTCTCCGGCAGCTGCTCCGCTCTCCTTGGGAAGCTTCTTCCCTGCTTTTGGCTTCTTCATCGCCGGAGCTTTCTCGGCGACACTTTTCTTCTCCTCAGCTGGCTTCTTCTCCGCCGGCTTCTTCTCAGCTTTTGGTGCCATCTCTCTTTCTACGAGTTAGCTTTTGATCGACTGTGGGGAAAATAAATGAGAGATTCAAGTTCGATGAAAAATTGAGATGATAGTACTTGAGGGGAAACTAATGGTGGTCATATAGAGAGACGAGTGGGGGAATTTATTGGTTTGTTTAGGTTTCACAGGGATGCGTGACGTGGTTGATTTAGACCGTTGGATAGAGTTGATACGAGGGGATGAATTGACCGTGGAGATGGCTTGGACATTTCATATTGGTGAATGGTGATCCATTGCCTAGGTTCAAAAAATAAAAAAAGTGATCCATTGCCTTGCGACGCGGATTGCTGAGTTGGCGTAATGTTATCTCCAAAACTTCAGATAATGCTATTACAAAAACCCCTTTATAGTGATTGGCCGTCCTATTAGCACGAGGTTAACATTTCGAATTTTAATTCCCAATTACTTTTAGAGTTAATTGCATTACATATCCTCAAAGTATGACCCTTATTTTAAATTGATCTCTAAACTTTTTCTTTTACATTACAATTTCATCCCTAAACTATGAGTATCATTCTAAATTAGCCCTCAAACTTTTGAACATTCCAATCTCATCCCAAACTATACATACATACTAACCACATCTCTTGTTAATCAAATCGTTAGGTCAAGTTCTATTATTATATGTTTGAAAAAAAATTTAGGTTAAACTAAGGTTGAAACTAACTATATATATTTGGATGAATTTGGAAATGAAATTGTGATATTCAAAAGTCTGGGGACCAATTTAGAAAGAAGGTCATAGTTTAGGGATGAAATTAGTGTTTAAAAGTTTAAGGACTAATTTAAAATGAGAGTCGTAGTTTGAAGAAAAAATTAAAATATTCAAAAGTTTAAAGACCAATTTAAAATGAGAGTTATAGTTTGAAGACATATGATGCAATTAACTCTTACTTTTTTATATTTGTTTCAAAATAAATGTTATTTATTCAAATATTCATTTAAAATTTTAATCAAACCCAAAATTAATGAGATAATGGTTTAGGAAAATATTTATTTGGGGTGTTAGAAAAATTATTTTCTCAATTATAGTGGAATGAAGAGTATTTGGGGAAATTGACAGAATCACTTGGCGTCTTTAGAAAGATATACGGAAGACACGACATTTTTCTCAAGTACAACGCTATAATTTAGGTAATTCGATCCAGGCGCCATGCAGACGACACCTTGCAGTATGCTTAACTTAATGAAGTCACCAAATGATTTGATCGACTTCCTCTTGCAATATTCATTTCATTATAGAATATAATTGAGAAAATATGAGGTACTAGAAAGTTATTTTCTCAACTAAGGTGAATGAACAGTGTAAATAGTAGTTGAAAGGACTAATTGACGTCTTTGAAAATAGGTGTGAAAGACACGACGTCTTCTTCAATCTCAATGTTATAATTGAAGTAGTATGGTTTAGGCGCCATGCAAATAAACCTTATAGTCATGACGACTTCATGAAGTCTTTAAATGATTCGCTCGACTTTCCCTTGCATTATTCATTCCACCTAATTGAGAAAATAATTTTCCTAACAATTTAAATGAGTCCATCTTTGTTTGTACCACGTAATTCAAAAAACTTGAATTAAATAAAATAGTTGATTTATTTAAGACATCCGAGTCAGCCTATCAATTCCTTTGATTATGTCATAGACCGAATCTAAAGATAAATTATTTGGTTAATTGGGTCTTTCAGACATGTTCGGTCTATCTAGCAGATGAGTTTATTAGAAATGTCTAGTTTAAAAAATATATATTCAAAGTATGTTTTTCTCGTTTAAATGTTTTTTGTTTTGTTAATATAGATGTCAAACGTTTTCGACGTTATCATTTTAAATGCATAATTTATCATGATTGTAAAAAGATTATCGTCACTCAAAATGTAACATATGACGCATTTATACATTTTAAAAAATTATTTAAAATTATTATTATTTAAAAAACCAAAAATCATTAATTCCAAAACATTAATTTTTTCGTCGATCCCCTATCGCTATAGTCTCGTTGATCGTCTATCCATCCATTGTTGACCGATCATCCAATTAACTTAGCCTCAATCCCTAAAATTTATAATGAATCAAATATATAAAATAGTAATATGGATCAAACATTTAAAATGGTATAGTTTACCAAAAAATTAAAAGAACTTAAAAATTAAGTCATATATTAAATATTGATTGATTGACTAATATTTAACAAATTTTTTCCAATTTTAATGGATCAATAGTAATATGGATAATGTTAAACACTTACATTAAAAAAAATAAACAGGAAAATTAAGTATAGTTTGAGATTTAAAAAAAAAAACTAGAAGGAACATATAAAAACATAGCCTTCGAGGAAAACCCTAGCTCTGCACCTTTTTCTTTCTTCCGTCTCCGCAGAAAACCCAGAAGCGGCCGCCCTTTTCTCTTTCAGGTAAACTCTCATTTCTCCAAATTTCAAATCGAATTAGCTCTTCCAACTTCATATTTTCTTATTAAATTTTGTCCACTTTTATTTGTTCAGTTCTTCCAATGAAATTTCATAGCAACCTTTATTTGCTAATTTTTTCTTTTTTTCTTTTATATTTTGCCAGATTTGAATTATGATAGTTGCATTTTTAAAATTGTATCCTCTTTGTATTTTGTCTGTGATTGACATTATCTGAGTCAAGCTTATTTGGCTTCTAACCGAGTTTAGGATAATTAGCCTCTATGTTACAAAAGGCTGGTGCCCTCAACATTTGTCTTCGTTTGTGTACATGTTAAAATAAAATGGCTTAGAATAATTTAATACTATCAGGGTCATGGAAGAATGTTGGGTTTTGGTTGTAATCGATCGAGGGGTGGACTGCTAGGCTACTTCCTTCCAGACAGGTTAGCTTAGAAATTTTCCAATGTTCGTTCTTCATCTATTTACATTTTCAAAAGAACAACTAGGATTTGCTAAGATCAAGAAATTCTTATTAGACAATCAAACGAAATGAGATTTCTTGTTTTGGTTTTTAGTCATCATGTCATTTATGTGCTTTGTTTGCAATACAGTTTGGATACATCGTGCTCACGACATCAGCCGGCATCATGGACCATGAAGAAGCAAGAAGAAAGAATGTTGGTGCACTCGGTTTCTTCTATTGAGAAAAATTTACTAGATTTTCATTTTTGATTTCTCTTCATGTAGCACATTGTAGTTATCCTCAGCCTGTGTCAAGTACAAATCTAATTTTTGCTTATTGGGGATTTTACTTATGATGTTTTTTTGAGATTGAGTTGGGTTTTTCCTTCAGTAATAGTTCTCTTGCCATTGACATCAAACTCTAAAGTGTTTGGAAGTCCCTACTATTGCTTATGGGCATGAATATCTTGGGGGGAAACCAGGTTTTCATTTGCTGTTTTTACTGTCGCTTTTCCCTATAAAACTATAATAAGCTTTTCATTTTATAAGCTCAAGCCTTACAGTAAGTAGCCATGGATGATACAATGGCTTGATCACACGGTCTGTGTATTTCATTGATGTACACGTGTATCACGAATAATCGATCTTGTCTGTCGGTTAATTGTAACAAACTTGATCAATGGCTTGATTTCGTCTTAAAGGAAAAAAGAATCTTAGAACAGGCAGTAGTAAGGTGGAGAGTAAAACATTGGGGCGTGTTAATCCTTCAATGGTTAAATGTGAAAACTCAGCTTTCTGGCAATGAAATTATTGACAATTTTTCCTCGAGGATTTTCAATATTGCGTGACAGTGTTCACAGGATTTTCAACTCCTTGGTAGTAATTTCTCTAAATGTACTTTCTCCAACTCCAATTCTTTACACAAACTAAATCTCTATAAAATAATATTAGATTTAGTCCTTATAAAACATAATTCAACTAATAATTAAAATATATTCCTACATAAAATTTATGCTAAAATAAAATCTGAATTGAAAAATCAAATAGTGTTTATGAACTCCAACATGAAAGACCATGTTCCTTGAAGGACATTAGCATATATTATTTTAAAAAGCCATCACCCACAGTTTATAAGAGTTCACCGTATAAAAAGTCTTTTAGTACTATTTACTGTGTAGATCGAACTCACGATCCAAAATTTTAAAGTAACTTTCAAAGTATGCATTCCACTTTAAGATTTTTTTTTTAAATTGATTTAAACTATTTTTTTTAAACATAGAATTATTGAGAGACAAGTATTATTATCATAAAATTTATTATTTCTAAAAGATGATTTTTAAAATTTCATCCAATTGTGGTGGAATAAACTAGATGAATCATTGTATATTAGTAATTAAAATTCTCAAAGTGCCGGTTATATACTTGAATAAAACACGCAAATATTATAAAAAAATGGAGTACAAAATAGTAAAATTAATTTATATCAATATAGAAAAAATGGAGTAAACAACAGTCTCTAAAAAACACAGGTATACTCCTAAAGTAGTAAAGGAATCAAGAAATCAGATCCTATCTTCCTATATACTAATATGAATCAAATTTCTTTTTACAACAACAACAAAAAGATCTTATATAAAACAATGGACAACAGGAGTCGTCTCCACCTTCCCCAGCTTCAGCTCCAAATCTGTTCCCCAAGGCGTCAGGCTCAGATTCAAACCCAAATCACTTCCATCTTCGCTCAACTTATCCATCTCCAGCAACAAGTCCCGAGTCACCAACGACCCTTCGTTTAAGGAAGCCCTGTGTCTCCTCATGTGACCGCCGAGAGCTTGGCCGATGGGGAATTCCAGTCCACAGATGGAACACTCGTGGGTCTTTGGCTTCTTAGGTGAAACCGGAATCTCCTGAACATCTCCTCCTGTTAGCCTCGGCTTCTTATGGCTTGCTCTGTGACCTCCGAGCGCTTGAAAAGATGGAAACCTTTTATTACACGTCTTGCATGCAAAGACACGACCGGCATCCTGGTAATGATGCTTCCCGTCGGTTTGGCCAACGTTAGATAACAACATCAAGCAGTTTGCCATGTCCATGGCATTGATTTCTCCAACTTCTGTGGTTCTCTTCATTTTAATATAGTTTACAAAAAGCCAGAGAACTTTAGCTGAAAATATGGAAAGAAATACAAAAAATGCTTTGGTTGAAACTCAGATTTTAGCTGTAGATATCTGGAAAGGAACTTGGATGAGAGGAATGAGCTAGGGTTTTATATTTATAGGTAGGAGTTGGCAAGTGTGTGTTACGTGGGAACATGGAACGCCACAATGACATATTTGACCGATGCTTGGGGGTTAAGAAAGAAAACAGTGTTGGGTTATTATTTGTGCGTTTGAAGGGTGGAAACGGGAATTCGTAGCGGCCAGGTTGGGCACGTTTGCGTCACCGCGTAGCTGAGCATGTTAAGTAATAGTCACTTGAGGCAACCCGGTAGGAATCTTCCTCAAATTCTAGACAGTTTTGGAAGTGCTGTGAGTGTTATTTTACTTGCATCCCATACGCTGACTTCCTGGCGTGCGCGTCTCGTCCCATGCTTTTTAATTTTAAATGAAATTATTTTATTATTCTTTATATATCTCAATTTTTATTATTTTAAATTCATATTCTTTTTCACATTTTCAATCTCTCACAATATTTTTCACATGATTTCAAAATATTTTTATGTCTTTTAGGTCGCAATTTTCTCAATAAGGCAGTTTTATTTAAGAATTCTAACAATTTTCTTTTGGAAAGTGCATATGTAGCGTTTTAAAAAAATTGATGTTTGGTGGTCCACGGATCACTGGCGCGTGGGAGCATTGAATCAACTATTGTGACTCACAAGGTTTATTTAAATGGAAACGGGGATAAACGTGCGAAGAAAGTCGGTTAGTAGCAGTTAAAACTTAATATTCTAAATTAGTTTAATAGATAAGATACTAGATTCATTAAATAAGATTGAATGTTATCAAATTCAGATTAATTAATTAATAAATCACATACTAACAATTATTAAAAAATTAATATACTTGAACTCAAAAATGAGGTGCAATAAAATATAATATAAATGAATACAAATATTAAAATGATACATACAAATAATAATTATAAATCATAATTATTTTTAATTATAATTTATTGATTTGTAAAACGTGTTTGATTAAATTAACATCAATATTAATATAAGATATAAAATCTATATATTTGAATATTTAATATTTTCTTGAGGTATTGTTTTATTTTTTGAGGTCTTCAATTCGAGTATTACGTATGCAAGAATGTATGAATATTTAATGTTTGACTTAATATAAAAATAAGTATTTAAGCCGGTCGACTTTTAAAAAATACAAATATTTTAAAAAATCATTTTTTTAAAAAAAAAATTATATTTCTTGGGCTCCCACATCTCCCCTAACCCTGTGTCCCTCTCCTCTCTCTCCTTCCCTCGCATGGCAGCATGGCACCAGTTGAAGAAGACCAAACGACCGATCGATTACCATTGCCCAAGTGACTGGCCCGATTGCCACAATCCAAATGGCCGGTCAAAGGGTTTAAAGGAATTTCTTGGGGTTTGAATTTTTGAGATTTTAGGGATTTAATATAGAAATTTAAGGTAAGGCCACTGGTGGGTTTGTTAGTGGTTGTTGGTCGGGTGGATACATAGTTAGAGATAGGTTCGATCGACGACGATAATGATGACAAATGTCAACAGTCAGCGTGGATATATGGATTAGAATTGAAATTTTAAGAAAAATTTGGTTTTTTATAACTTTAAGTTTTTTAATTTTAAAAAAATTCAAATTATACAAATGTCACTTAATATATCTTTTGAACAACTATTACGTTTGGAATACTAGAAATATTTGTAACATTAAACATCTGATTTTACTAAAAATAATTTAGGCACCTAAATAGAAAAAAATATAATTTCTTAATTTATAGGTGAACATTAATTTAAAGAATATAGATATTATATATAAAAAAAAGTTACAACGCGGTCTCCCTTTAAGTGGCGAGTTTCTTAATTTCACACTTTTTACGTGCCTCTACTTTTCAGTGGCAAATCTCCCTACGTTAATCCACCACCTCTGGTTTTAAAGTAACGACCAAAAGAGTAGTAGGTTGGTAGAAGGTAGCATTACAATTTCCATTGATGTTTTCAAAATCCTAAAATTTTATATATTTAAGCAACTGAACCAACTCATTTTGATATGATTTAACGATATCTTTATCTGCATAATAAAATAAAATAACCGATATTTCTTATGTGAATGGCAAAATATAATTAAAATAAGAGAATAAACATGAAACGCGCTGCTCAAAACCCATACATTTATTAAATTTGCAATTCAGTCAGAGATGTCCAATCAATCAGAGGAAAAGAGAAAAGGTTTATTACATAAATTTGTACTTAACTAGTTCCTAGAAGATCGGTTGACTGAACATTAGCCATATTTATTTGAACAAGCATATAATTAGAAAAGAAGCACATTATATTTTATTGGAGAATTCCTCCTAAATGTGAATTGATACACTTACTATGTAATGACGACATATATATTTAATTAAAGAAGCTTCTCTGGGTAGAATTTTATGTTTCAATGCTATCTTTTTCCGCACGTCAAACTGTCTTAGGGACAATTCTATATATTATCTTAATTTTCAAATCCTGTTTAATCAAATAATGTCGTCACGTCAGATTGTTTGAGTTTGAACCTACTTTTGAAAAGTCAAGGATTTGAGGAACACATGAGCAAATAAAATATTACAATTATCTACCCCCTAGATTCTTTGCACATTACAATGTAATGTTCTTCCTGCAATTTTTGACGATTCTTTCCACGAAATTATTAACATGAAACATGTAATTGGTTTGGGAATATACATGAATGGATGGATGTAGCAGGTGAGGTAGTCGCTCCTCTTAAAATTTTAAATTATCATATATTTTAGATACATTTTATATTTTTATTGATAATTTATTTTCATATTCTTAAAAATTTTATGAACTTATTTTTTAACATAAAATCTTCCAACTGTTACCCGAAAGTACACGTGGTGCGTGGGGAAAATTTGGAAAAATGATTATTCCGAGAATTTGATGAAGTCAAAGGAAATTGAAAATTGGTTAAACTGAAATAGGTACAGGCTCAAGTACGAAAGTACATTTTACATGGGGATTTTTCGGCCGGGATGCAGCCTACGTGCGCTCTACACTGGTTGATAGGTCAAAGGAGAAGGGCGCATAAGGCGTTTTATGTTTACATTTTTTGGGGGTAAAATTCTAGGATTAGTATTTGTGTTATATATAAATTATAAGACAGAGATACAAATTCAGCATTATCTAAGACATTTCACGGCCACGATTGATTGAATGCGTGTTGAGCTCTTACATTTCTTTGGTTCTGCAGAGAAATTCCAGTTGAAACTGGCTCAACAATCACTTCATGATTTTAGGAGCCTTGTACAAAAAATTGCATTCATATTGTTCAGTTTTACAGTGTAAAATTAAACAAAAGGAAACCAACTTCAATGAAATGATTGTCTGTGTCTCAGAACATATTCGGACCTTTTTGTTTATCAGGAATTGGAAATGCAGAACAATTATTCTCGTGATTTCCCGGACAAGTAGAGAGACAGTTTATCTCTCAGATCAACACCCTTGATGTCAACGGATCCACAAATTCTTTGGCGGTAACCGAAATCATGGTCGTGAGACAAGGGCATTTCATCCTGCATGTCATCTTCCAAGTCTATAACGATGTTATGAAGCATGCAGCAAACAAGGATAATCCTAGGCAACTTATGTTTGTCAGGTCTCCACATTACCCCTTGGATGATCTTCCACATTTCCTTGAGCCTTGCCAATGCCCTGTGCGCCACCAGCCGGGTGGCGGAATGTCTTTTGTTGAATTCGGCTCTTAATTCGAGCAGTTCTTTCCCCTCATAAGGTATAACGAGATAGGGTAGTAGAGGATAGCCAACATCTCCAATTATGTATTCCCTTATTCCGGATCCTTCGGGGAGCACAAATTTTTCCCCATTCAATCTCTCCCCTTTATCACACAGATTATAGAAATTCGAACTCTGAAACACCAACCAGTCTTCGGTTTTACCTGGCCAGCCAGTGACTATGTCCCTGAACCTCATTTCGGGGTCCACGATAGCCTGCAAGACCATGCTGTGATTCTTCTCGTGGTCGAGCCATCCTTTACTTGCAGGGTCTGATGAAGGCAGACACATCATAATGTGAGTAGTGTCAATCACACCACAGCAATTGGGAAGACCTTGAATCTTTTCGAATTTGGACTTTATTTCTGTCATTTCCGCTTCAGTGGAAGGCCACTGCAGGTGGTGAAGACCCCTTTCTTCCATGGCTTCCACAAAGCGCCACGTTATTTGTGAGACGGTTGAGTGGTGCAACCCGAACGAATCACCAACTATCACCAGTGATTCACCGGAGCTTAGCCTTCTTAAAGCTACAGCTACTTGATCCTCGAAAGACACGGGCTTACCATTTGAAAATGTAAAACTTCCCGGCCTAGCCATCATATCTTCCTTCACAAGTGAACAGATGTAGTTGAAGGTTTCTCTGGAGATTTTGAAAACAGATTTGAACTTATCCAGACCCTTAGATGGCGATTGAAGACCTAAGAAGAAAAAGAGCTAATAAGACGAAAGCAGTATTTACTCATACGAGACATGAAGGGCTGGTGTAAATGATCTGCAGAAATTCACTAATAATTCTGAAACATTGTTTTAAATAATGATTAGTGTATCAATCAAAATATACGTTTTTGGTTCCTTTTTATTGGACAAATAAATTTGTATATACATGCACACATGCATAAATTAATGTATCATGTACGACAAAACATGCCCATTTCGGTATTTTAAATATGAAAACATTGCACAGAAAGCTGAAACATGACAGCTTCAGTTGAATCTGAATTGTATCTATTACTCCTTAGGTCTCGTAAGAACCAAGAGGTGAAAGAAAGTGGCCACATTGACACATTAACAGCTTTCGGCTGCCGGTAACATTTTGTTGAGAGAGAAAAAGGAAGACAAGTTACTAAACATGGACTGCTCCCCATCATTTTGTTCTTATGGACCCAACAAAGGAAAGCATGAACATAATGTAGTTTCTATGTCTTGTTCCTATAGTATATCAAAGTTGGTACACAATCTCTTTATGTAGTTTAGGGAGTACATAGTAGCATAATTTCCAATTACTTTGCCAAGCAAGGGTTACATTCTCCTCATCCGACTCAATCCCTCGACTTCTATCTTTTATTTTCGGTTCTTAGTTCTCTTAATTGATAAACCCTATAGATTGTTGACAACACTAGTCAATATAAAGACATAACTGTTGACTTTAGCTAAAATAATATGAGAAGATATCATTCTGCAGATAGCTTGAGGAAACCACATACTATGTGAAATAATCTTCATGTTAATGCGTGTGTGTTCTAGCAGAACAAAAAACAATAGTCCGAGAGACCAACTGGGCAACGATATCAACTTAGAAATGTATACTAAAAAGATTAGGTACAATAAGCCAACAATCAGCCCCTTTTATTTTCAACTCCACTTATTTACTAGCAGAGTCTTTGGTAATTTTCTGCTTAAATCCTTGCTCAAGGTAGATCAAATACGAACATCAAATGTAAGTTCAGAATCAGTTTTTCAACTGCATTAGCTAAACAAATTAGACATATTGAGATTCAAATGATTGTCATATCCGAACAGAATTCCGCTGAGTTTCCAGGAAAGCAGAGAGCATCTATAAGCAACAGCATTGCCAAAACATAAAACCTTATTTCGTTCGATTTTAGTCGGTCTCCACATATTCTATATACCATAACATCAAGAAGGAAAAGACGATGACGATGATCTTATCCTCTTTCCTATTGAACCATATACGGTATATAAAACAAGTGTTAGGTGAAAAGAACAACTTGGAATTCAGATTAGGGCTCCTGCTTTCATATTCCCAAACGCATTAAAATATGTAACTCATATATGATGTAAATCATAAAACCAGTTAAAAGCTCCACAATGGAACTCATATCATTGATCTGAAAACACAAATATGTAACTTGAATATGATACAAATCGTAAAGAAGGTCAAAATTTGAAAAAAATTGAATTCAACCCACGAACTGATAATCTGTCAACCGGTAACCAAAAATTAGATATCTTCCATGCCATGAATGATCAGCTAGAGCAACAGTTCAAAAATAAACAAGAAGGAAAAGTCAAGAACTCAAAAGAGTTCGACACGGTGAAAAATGTTAAAATAACACATACCATTCATCTTCCTGGAAAGCTCATCCCACCAGTCAATAGACCCTTCCTTCTCTGAAGAACCAGAAGCATTCTCTTCATGTTTCTTCTCTATCTTCTTTCTTTTCTTTAACCCTCTTGCGGGACCCATCAGCCTCAATTGAATCCAAGAACAAAACCCAGAAACTTGAGCAAAACGAGAATTGCAATAACTGTATTAGAATTCACAAAAAACACCAAAACCCCATTAATCATTGAACCATGATATTGATCATAAACCGCTACACAAGGAGATGAACAAGAAGGTGAAAGAGATAGTGAGCTTGTGACAAGTAACATGCAATAACTATATCTATATATGAAAGAAATATAGCAGCTTTTGTGTTAATGGTGTTGAAAGCATGCAAAAGAAGGAAGATTTGATGGAATAGGAAGGGGGGAAAATAAAACAGAGGTAGTATAGTTTGTTGGAGAGATCTAGAGGAAAGTAACGAGCGTTGGAAGTACTTGTTTTTTAAGACAACGAGGCAACCGAAACAATAGATATGGGCATTGGAATTTGGTAGATACAATTTACATTTTCCCCTTTAACTACTCTACTAAAGCATGCTAAATGCTAAGCAGACAGTAGAGGTTTTTGTGTTATGCATTTGGAATTCATATAGGATGATGACTAAATTTTGGACATTAGTCACATATTGTAAGAAATCAAATGAAGGTATGAAAGATATTTATAGTGAGATTAAACTATTCCCCAATCGACTTTAGGATAATTATAATACATTTCGAATCCAAGGAGTCATCATAATATTAAATAGTAGTATGTTTTCTTTAAAGGATATAAATATGAACAATTTTATTTGTAAAATATGTACACATTTATTTAGGAGTAAAATAAGATAAATATTATCATAGAACACTTAAAGAAAAGTACGATCCATATTTTCTTTGGGCTGCCTGGAGTTATGGTAATGTTTGCCTGATTTTCTGAACAGCAGAAAAATAATAGTTTATGAGAGTTTAGGCTGGACCTGGAGTGAACCCTAGTCGCAGGCTTGAAGCACAGATTTGGGCCAAGAAGCTTGCTTATATGGACCCTTAAAATGTTAGTTTAAATTCAATAATTTTCGTTATAGGGGTGTGACATCGCTTACTCGACTAGATTTTTAGGTGAGGTAAGGGGTGCTACAAATAAATTTAATTGGGTGTGAAATATCTTTTATAATTATTGTACACTCTTCATATAAAAGATGAAACGGTACGTTTTTGGTCTCTATCTTCTCATGAGTGTAAAAATAAGTGTTAACTGCAATTTAAAATCTCCAAACATCCGAAGCACGTAATAAAATACACTTTATTTTAAGCATTTTTAATGACTTTAGAGGAGATATTTCTTAATATTGTGAATAAACACACTGAGAAGACAATCATACCTCTGTTAGTTTTAAATAATTATATAAAATATTTACTAAAAATATATTGATATTTAATAAAATAATTGATAATTTTCTCCTTATCGTATCTAGTTGATAGAGTGAAATATGTTTCATGCTCAAATATCAAATAACATAAATTTTGTATTCTATAGGAATTTAACAAACTATTACGATCTTTATCTTTTAGGATAAAATATACAAATGATCCTTTGACTATATGACATGGTTTGTTGAATCTCTCGACTATCAAAAGTTACAAAATAATTATTCAATTATAGGGTGTTACTTTGTCAAGTCTCTTAACTATTAAAAGTTACAAAATAATCACATGACTATTCATATATTTCAAAATTTTCTTTTTTCTTGGTTAAAACATAACGGTCATCTAAGCTGGACGTTAACCTGTTAACCAATATATGATAACATATGATCCCAAAATCTCAAATGATTATACAATTCAAACGATTTTATGATGAAATTTTATCATACATCAGTTATTATGTTAACGTTCAGCTCAGACGACTGTCAATCTTTTAATGGAAAATGACGAGATTGAAATATATGAATAGCTCAATGACCATTTCATAACTTTTAATAGTCAAGGGACTCAATAAAGTAACGTCCTAAAGTAATAATATTATTTTGTAACTTTTAATAGTCAAGGGACTCAACAAAATAGTGTCATATAGTGAGGGGCCATTTATATATTTTACCTTATCTATTAACTATCTATTAATTATTCATAACTACTATGAATTATTAATATAATATATATATATATATATATTAAAATTTTGAAAAACCAAAATTTATAATTTTTAGTGTCGTAAGATTTGATTTAATATTCAATATAATATTAAATCTAGTATTAATAGAATATAATAGTTAAGAATATAACAATTCCATTTTCCTTCAATTTAAAAATTATTTTGATTATTCTTTTTTTTTTCATAACCACCGTTAGTATCTTTTCTTCTTGATTTTTGTGATCGAATACGATATCAGTCTTGGTACTAGTTGTCAACCGTCGGTATTCATTATTTTTCCTTTGCTTTATTATAACATATCTTTATTTTTCTTGTTTTTTATTTTTAATAATTGTATCTTTTTGGCACGTATTCATCTTCCTTGAGGGCACGATTTTCTTTGTCTCTATGGCAATTTTCGATTATTTGTTCGTTATTTTCTTTTATTTTTCAGGGTTGAATTTGACATCACCACAACTGATCAAGATGACGCTTATTTATTATCATGATGATCTTTCCTGCTTTGGACCCTCGAATTGAATTTGGATATACGATTTGTGTTCGTGAATAATATTTTCACATCGCTCAATTCTGATTTGCGGTATGTTAGTGGTCTTTTAATAGTCATATTCCCTTTTATGGTTCGTTTGTCGATGCATTCAGATCTATCTGTATTTATCTCTTGTTCGAGTTTATTTGGCTAGATTTTTTTAATATTTTCCTTATATGGTCCTTGTATAATCTTAAGTGGCTAGTTTTCTTATGTTTAGGAAAATATTCTTATTATATGTTTAGTTTACGGTTGTGGTTGTAAACCTTTATTGAAATTTGAATATTTTCTATTTTTAATAAAATTAACGTCTTCTATAAAAAAATTATTTTGATTATTTAATTTTATTTCATATTAATAGAACATATTCATATATAATATTAATAATACTTATTGGTATGTGATATTTATTGTAAAATCATATTATTATGATAGAATCATAGATTCTTTTTTATTAGTATTGGGTCTCTAATTAAGATATAGTTAATCAATTACAATCTGAGAGAGGTGACGTGAGGAATGGAGTTTTAACTCTTTGAGAGCTCAAAGAACACAGTTTTCCCAATCACTCCATATTGACTTTCAAGTGTTATCTTATGTTAGAAAAAGATGGTGGCATATGAAAGATTCAAACTTTTTTATTTAAAATTACTGTAATCCTAACCACTGCTAAGCATGAATAGAAAAAGGATAACATAAATTTTAGCATAATAATATTCTGATTCAGAATATTTACGTTACTTATCTCACATTATTTTTTTAAAAGGGAACCTTGTATATTATTATAACAGATTAAATATACAAAGATAACGACAATTATCGAGGTCTCGTTAAAAAAATTCTCTAGATCTAAATGGAATAAAAAAATACCCCGAATCAATGCACTAAAACAGAAGCAATCGAATGAAATCATCTCATAACCAAAGTCTATTACACGATCCTATGACAGCGCCATAACAACCGGGTAGACTGACTTCACCGGGCCAATCATACACACAGAAGGACAATCAACCATATGAACACTTCTTCAAGTGAGGAAAGAGCGATCCACAAGCAGCTAAAGCAGAGATCAACCACCAAACCCAAACAATATAATCAACAACTCGAATTAGAATTTCTATTGGACAATATAAATTTAAAAAATGTAATGTTAGAACAAATAACGAAATTTAGTGATAGAATTTGAAAGGCAACTTAAAACTTGAAAAAGTTTAAAGGTTTAAATATTTTTTTAAAAAAAATTGAAGAGTTCAGTTTACATTTTTTTCAAAAAAAATAATTAGGATCTAACTAAAATTTTTGAAATTGGAGAGGTTTAATAAGAATTTTTAAAAATTGTAGGAAGAGTTTAATTAAGAATATTTAGAAAATTTAAATCTTAATATGAATTTTTAAAAAAAATTGTGAGAGATCAATTAATTTTTTTGAATTTTTTTAAGATCTTAATTATAATTTTTCAAAATTTTGGGGTACTATGGCCTCCAATAGTTCTCACCGTGTTTCGCCACTAGTTAGAACTCATGCAAAGAATTTGAATAATGCTCAATATTAATTATTTCAATAGTTCTAATTAAATAATAAAAAGTATTGATATAAGAAGAATTTATTAAGTGTCTTAAGTAGTTAAAATATATGTTATTCTTCCTACGAATTTTAAATTCGGGTAACTGTATTTATAAAATATGAATATTATTAATAAATTAAAAAATTAAATAAATATTATTTTATATTGATATACAGAAAGATAAAATTTTAATAGCTGTCAGATCTTGATTTGCCATGCATAAATTCTGAAAATATGTTATGTTCATGGCGGACATTATAGGAAAAGAAATGGTGTTGGGGTCCCTTCATCCCTTTGCGTTTCTTATAGATAGATTATACACCACCGTGCCTAAGCTGATTTAACACCCTTATCTCAATCTAAATACTTTAATTTTAATTAATCGATTAGACATTGCACTCAGTGTGGTGCAGGTGTGAACAGAGATGTGTGCCACATCCAAATTCATCGGATTTGGACTGATCCAATTTTATTGAATATAATATTTTTAAAAGAATCGAATTTGAGTTTAGATCATATCAAATTAAGATCGAGGGTAAAAAATATTTAACTCGGTTAAAAATATAATTTTATTTTATATATTTAGAGATAATTATAAAAATAATTATATATATATATATTATTTTTAATTAAATTCTTATTTTTTATTGAATAAATGTATGAGTAATTTTTATAAATATAATATTTAGGGTTAGGTCAAATAGAGTTTAGAAAAAAATGTAAATTTAATTAAATTCTTATTTTTTATTGAATAAATGTATGAGTAATTTTTATAAATATAATATTTAGGGTTAGGTCAAATAGAGTTTAGAAAAAAATGTAAATAGTGTGAAGGACATATATTTTTCGAGTAGATTTCAGATTGAGTGGATAATGTATAATTTTTAGGTCAAATCAAATTAACTAAAAACTCAACTCAATCCGAACCATA